TCCATTATCAAAGATCTCTAGTTTGAGTGTATTTAACCAGGGTGTTAGGATACAGAAGTTTGTTCATTGCCAAAATCGGCCGATAGATTTTGAGACAATAATATTCTTCCTACTCATCGTATAGTTTTTTTCCTTGTCTATTTATCTCTTTTTCAAGAAAAGATGTTTCTGGGGTCCTTGTTTGCTCTGCTCTCAAATTGAATTACTTAATTGGATTTTTGAGTATGATGTCTATTCGTTACCTTCACATTTCATATTCAAGTTGCAAACATTCTCAAATAAAGACATTTGTATAAGTTATTGAATTTTATGGAATAAGGTAACGCTGTAGCGCTAGTATTCAAAGGATACAGAAAACTCCAGAAATTAAACCTTAAAAATATTACATCAAAGCTTTCATTGGATACTTTTTTTTATATTTGTAACATGCAATTGAAACATTACGAGATACAAACTGTCAAATATCAAAAAGCAAACGATCTGTAACAGGATCTCTGCAAAAGTCAGTTTATCTTCTTTGAATTAACGTTATATTTATAATAATCAATGTATTCAAAAACATTCAGCAATAAGTGTGCTTGATCATGAATATCATGATTTCCATAAGAATTATACAATCATCCGTTTTGCCTAAGAAGGTACATATTGAACAAGAAATGATATTTTTCATTCGATCTGATGTTTACAAAACAAAATCATTGCATGACTAAGAGTCAACACCATGAAAATTAAGTAACAAGAACATATTCTACACTGAAAACAACTTTCTGCACCTGTGACCAACAGAGAAGAAGTGTTGCACAGTGAAATTACTTAAATTACATGTAGAGTCACCTGTCAACGTAACTTGATAATATCTCTTAAAATGATACCTTCTGATGCCTATATTATGTACATTTTGATAAAAAAAAATCCCAGTAGCATACTGTACTTAATAAATGTAAAATATAATAGGAAAAAATAAAATATTTTGGGAGTACTTTAAAGGAACATATCACATCCATAAAACCTGATATACACCACATTCGAACAATTGAATTTCATACTATTAAAACGGTATACAGGGACATAAATGTAATTTTTTTACACTGTGTTTATGTCCTTTATATTTTTATTTGTGCGGTGTGATTTTGCAACATTCATGACCCCTCGTATATCATTGTGTATACATTACTTCCTATAAAGACACAGCTGTTATGTGGCGTACACATTTTTGACACGTTTTCCATCTTCCTTCTCACACCGGGTTCTGTGGCATTTCCCTTGCACATTATAAGCGTGTTTAACACGTCTGAAAATACCAGCTACCTACTAAAATCTGCTTCTTGCTGGCAAAAAATCGAAACCCAGCTGATCATGCAGAAAATTAGAAGTGGCATATGTTGGCGGTAATATTCAGTAATGAACTGTGCTCCCTGGTACGATGGTGATATTGATGACAAGGAATTAGTGAGGAGTCCAGACCACACAGTGCAGCAATGTTAGTTACCTTAGATGAACCTTAATATAAATAAACTGTTCTGTGTGAAAAAAGATACCTTAATAAATGATAAGTTTCCCTAGAAATATCATTAAATTATGGATGCGAGTTTTTTTTTTTCTACGATTCGCAAGATTTGTAATATGAAAAGTCAAAATATTCCTTATCTTTGCAATTTAAAAAAATTTCGTTGCATTTAGGAATAAAATAGTGAACAAAACAATTTGCATATACAGTTTGGGTTCAAAAGTGTAAGAATCAGAAAACATGACATTTGCTATCAAATATTTAGAGTTAAGAATATATATTCGGAAAAGTCTCTTTATCAGTAACGCGATATCCACGTATATCTGTGTCAAAATAACAAAGTAACAAATTATCTTAAAAGTAAAACATTCTAAAAGCAAAATATTTCTTATCTTTGCAATATAATGAAATTTCGTTGCATTTAGGAATAAAATAGTGAATAGTATAATTAACGTATACAATTTGGGTTAAAAAGTGTAAGAATAAGAAAATTTGACATTTTCTATTAAAGTCAGGATTCATATTTCGGAAAAGTGTCTTTATCAGTTATGTCATATCAGTTATGCCATATCCATATATATCTGTATGTCAAAGTTTCAAAATATAAGTAACAAATCATTTTAAAATTTAAAGAGTTATATATGTAGGTTAATGGGAAAGTGAAAGTAAGCATGAGCAAAGATATACATAAAGTCGACCTAAACTGAACCTGCAGAACTGCAGCGTTATGGTTTTATATTTTAGTCTCTGACCATAATCACGAATGTGACAATTCGTACAAATACTCTGACTTCATTCAGACCTGTTTTAATTTGTTCCCTTTGTAGTAAAGCCATCGGGCAATAAAGAGCTACCATTTAAGGATCATTTTCAAAGTTTCTTAGAGAAATTTGTTTCATTTGAGTGAAAATCCATCATATTTTATGAAATTAATGTGCAGAAAACAGAAAGTTTTTTTTTAAAATCGGTTTTGTATTTTGATTATTTGAATACGGACAGGTTCATTTACAACGTTACAAGAATATCTTGAAATAATCAGTTGGTAAGGTACTTTGTACATCTGTTGTAAGATATGTGATGTATCACCTTAAAGTTATTTCCGAACAATAATACACATTGCAAATACTAACTGAATGTCAGTCTATTTAAAAATGAATTTTTTACCTAGTAAATGGTAAAGATTGCCGCCAACTGTGAGCATTATCTAAGTTGTCAATTTTCGGAGGATTAAAAAACAATATTTTAAAATATCGACACGTCCTGTCCCTTTTCTAGTACACCTGTTCGTGAATTCCTTCACATTCTGACAGAGCCCGCATTACTTCGTTATTATCATACTTTAATGTCCTGATGTTTCTGTAACGTGAGGGAGGATAAGGTCAAACCATATATAATAAACATACATTAATTTCGAGATCACAGCAAAGTCCTGTGTTGTGAAATGTAACTAAGAAAGGGTCTGTGGTGGTGGTGGTGGGTCATTTTTTCGATACTTTATAATATAAATTCCATAACTTTGAAAATCTCGGTGGATTTTTAATACCATTTACTAGAACTAACAAATCGTGTTAACTATAAATTACGCACTGTTAAATGTATGATTCCAGCAAACTTAGCAGTCCACTCAAATCCTAGTAAGCATGAAAGTGGATTACAACAACAAAACCACAACCATGTTTTTTAAACATTATTTTCATATCATACACCCAGCTTTAGATGATAAAATATTCCCAGTGTCAGTATAATCTATGACAAAGTGTACCTCATTCAAACTATTTGAGAATAAATGCCTGCATGAAACGGTAAGAACTTTTTTACCACTATGACCTTGAAACTGCTTTGAGCTTTTGACATACAATTTATTTATCAATTCACATCCAATTACAGTTATTGTGCACCTGAATTGTATTTTTTCTGCTATGGTTTTAAAAACTCAAGTTATGGTGCAGAGACACTCAATTTCTTGGATTTTAGTTCATTTCAAGCCATTTGTCCTTGACCTTTTGCAATGGACATTTTTCTTTCTGCTTTTTATATTGTTAACCACATATCAAAACTGGTTTTCAAACGAATGTAAAATACTCAAGTTTTTGGAAGAAAACTGACTGGTAACACCTCTTACCCCTGTCTGAGATTTCAAAAAAATCATCACTTCGTATCCTTGATAACATGAAAACAAAATATGAATACTTAATATTTCTATGCAATAAATATTAGAATGGTCTATGAACTTTGATATCAAGAATATTTTTTTCAATTGTCAGCAAAATTTTATACTAGGCTTTTCAAAAGATTCTCAAACCTTTTAATTTTTTCCCCCTGAAAAAAATACATGGAAAGGGAGACTATTTTTTTTCTATCTTTAGGAATTTTTCATGCACATGAAATTATCTTTAATATCATAAAATTATAATTTGTAATAAGTGTAATTTGACAACAAGATTGATTAAGTCATATATGATTAAATAAAAAGTTCAATTGGTCGGAAAAGAGAATTTTTCATAAAATGCCAGGATTTCATGGTAATCAATAACCATATTTTACCGTTTTATTGTGAACATTAGTTTCATTTCTCTAAATAAGAATCATTAAAATCCAACACCTAGCATGCCACACTCCCCATATAAGAGTTTTAATGCTTACAGAAAATAGCTATTCAAGAGACACTGTGACGTAAAAACGGGGGAAAAATTGGCAAAAATAGAATTTTTGCATGACACATGCAAACGTTGTTAAATTCTTGAAAGTATTAGGTTTCAGAAAATTACAGATTTCAGAACCTAAACATCTACTTTTATGGAGAAAAACGTATTTTTTGTCTGTCCCATGACGTGTCCCATGACGAACATACATGTATTGCTTTACTTCCTTCATATTGTAGGCATGCCCAGAAAAGTTAAAGAAATTACCATGGTCTCAAGTCCCAAGACATAAATGTTCGTTAACCATGGATTTTGATACAATCTTCAAAAAGATTCTCTGAACATATTCCTTACTTTTGCATACTCAGTTCATTGTTGTTTATAAGTTTTACGCTAAAAATAAAATTTGCGTGACCTTGACATGGACGATAACAACAATACGGTAGAACGTCCTTTGTTTTTCTGGTACTTATCTTGCTTTACAGTGCAGCTAAGTTGTCAAAAATACCGTTCATTTTTTTCATAAATTCTTCGCTTATCTTAAAAGAAACACATTTTTTCGACTCATTTTATAACTTTAAATACTGAATTGTGACTTGACATTGCTTACATCAGTTCTGAAACTTGAATACATTGGGAATAGGTACAGCGGGTAATATATATAATATACATGTACGATATTTTTCAAATCACTATCATTTTTCTTGAGAAAAAAATTATGACAAGAGTTACACTTAAATAGGAATACCTTATATCTACCGATTGTTTTAAAGATTAGAAAAAAAGATGTTCTCAAATTCTTTATAATGTGCATTATTAGAAGCAAACAATCTTAAATGAAGAAGAAAGAATTAAAGGTTTCATTGTTTTATTTGTAATAACATAAACCACAGGGAGACAAAGTATTGCAATAGAATTAAAAAACAGGAAAAATATCGTCTTACACGAAAACATTTTGCTGACACTTTCATAACAGATACGTTGCATTAGTTCTCGTGAAACTCATATTTAACAGCATAAGAATAACGCACAAATATGGAATGTAACATGTAAGAAAAGTTTTAACTACGCCAACTCTCATTGAAAATTTACTTTATATTATGTACAAAAATATCAAAACAAAGCACCATAAAAATAACCTTCATAATGCTGGCAGGGTTTGATGCAAACTAAAATATTGAAACTGTTTGAAATGTTCATCATTTCCTGCAAAATTAAATCAGAAGTTGTCGATATTGCTAAAAACAGATCTCGATAAAAAAAAAAATGACAGCCTCCCATGCAATGAGAGGACGATCAGTCTTCAAATTGCAAAATGGATCTTTACATATTGTCAATTTGAACAAGTTTAGGCCAGATATGAATAACAAAACAGAAATTCTTTTAAAAAAAAACCGGATTCAATTCTATTTTTATTAACTTTCTTACTTATATTGCTAAATTGTCATTAATTATTCAGTAAATAATAATAGAAAGTTTCGGTGTATGAACAATAAAAGTGCAGTTAAGTTCAGGTTGAAATTAAAATTTCCAACAACAAAAAAGTAACATGTATATTGATCTTTCAGTTTCTAATTGTGAGGGGCAAGTTTCCCTTTCATGTACCCTTTCCATCGTTCAAGAGTGTTTTGAAAAAGTGGATCATTGTCTAATTCAATCAGTATGTATAACTGTTTGATATGAACTTTATGATAATCCCATCTAGCACGATTTGGTGCAAGACCTGTAGTGATATGTCGAAGGTCATAAAACGTCCCTGTACCAGAATCAAATATGAGAAGCATTGCTTTCAACGTCCTCATCCCATTTTCAAACAACTCAGCTGCTTTTTCTTTAATCCTACCGACTGCTATTTCTTTAAGGTCATATAGACCGAGTAAAGAGTAGATAAATCCATTGAGCACAAAACTACTAGGAGTAGTAGGGTATTCTTCATACCAATAAAATTTGTTTAAAAATTTTGCTAAAACGCCACCTTGAGAACTTGGAATTTCAAAAATATCCAGCGCTCTACCCGCTGCATCTAAGTAAGTCCGATCTTTGGAGGCCACATATGCACGTACAAGAAGAGAAATTGCCTGTCCTTGACCCATTGCAGAATACCACCCTGGCTCTAATTCCATGACTTCTGGAATCAGTTTACGTGTCACTTTTACTGGCCAGCCACCCTTGGAATCTTGATGCCGTACAAAATAATTTGCAGCATCAAAAAACAAATCCTTGTGTGCATGACTATGAAGGGTCACATTGTCCATTATGCCATGACCACGAACACAAATAGCTGCAATGTGGGCTGCATTTTTTATTTTGCTACTTCGATTTTTCGAATATTGTAATGTTAATCCTTTTTGAAAATCTACCATTACTTGTCTCGTTAAGTGAATCCATTTTCCTTTTTTATGCAACCCAATTCCATAATAAATGTCTTTGCCGTTTATTTTAATTATGCTATCACTAAGCACGTAATGAATATTGAACAAATTTCCATCTCCTGTCTGAATTAATACTGTCACACTTCCATTATTTATAAACATAATATCCATTGATAATGTCGACATCCTTTCTTTTTCTGTGGAAATACTGATTCCGGGATTTTTCAAGTTTGCTGAAAATATATATGTATATGTAAAACAAATTGCTGCTTAAGCCTGCATTTTGCGTTTTTGTGCTGCATATACAATTTAGTAATACATAAAAGATATGTCCACATGTAAATAAAAGTTGAAACAAGATTTCTAAGAATTATTTTACTCTGGATGAAAAGAGTTTAAATGCATCATCCATATTCATAGGAGGAAAGTTCTGTGATATACGTACTTGATGTCCTGAATTCCACTACACCATTATCCACCGAAGTTCTGTCGTCCATCCTGCTGCGGATCTCAGATTTGCGATCAGGAAGCAACCAGTCTGATATATCAGTTTGTTCTCCATCCTCTAAAACTTTTATTTTCGGTCTTGATTGTGTTAGGTATTTGCTATAGTGACTTAAACCGTACTGTGCTATCTGTATGGGGTAATAGTGACCTTTCCGCTCCCATTGTGTTGATATAGGAACACCTAGAATGAAGATTCAATCGATTCTGAAAAATGTTTCTCCTTTTTCTTGCTACATTTTTAAAATGCCATTCAATTTTAGTTATTCATAATTAGTGTGAAAATAGTAAAGTGGTTAGTTATCTATATTATATTTTTGCTTTTCTACCTTCCACGCCAGAGACACATTTGACCCTATTTCTGTCTTCTACGCTATATTGATCAAACGACATGAAAACACCACTGGGGTTGTACTTAAGTTGAGGACCAGAGGGAAAATCGTCTTGGTAGCTGTGATGGAATGAAAACCTCTCGTATCCATCTGAGGTTTCAATCGAGCCGTAAACCTGTATTTATAAAATATTTTTATCTTGAATAGATTTTCTATATGATCCTCTAGTTTTTTTCCCCGTAACTTATCTATATTATAAGCTGACGCCTTAAAAGAACATCAATGCCCTGAGTTAATGCTGATATACTTTGCTTCGAATATACTTCATAATTCATACCTCAAAATATTTCTGAATGAAGGAAAACGGCATGTAAACATCTTTCCCCTCTTTTCTTCCCATTATGGAGTAGTCTCCATTGATGACACACTCAAGTTCTTCATATTTGATTGGCTTGTTCCTTTCCACGTGATTGTAGGCCTGGGCTACCCTGGGCTGAAACCCCACAGAAGCTTCAAACTCATTGACGATTTGTGACGACACTTCTTTCCTTTGAAATCCACAAAAAATAATTAATAATAAGACAGGATATTCTATATCGCAAGAATAGTTTTGCGTTAACTTTATATTTTTCTATCATGTTCCTAAATTCCTCTGGACTTTTTACCTGTAAATGCTATCGTCTTCCCTAGTAATATCACATCTTCCAATGTTGTATACTGTAAGAAGAAGAGGGAAGATACCCACACATAGTATAAGAACCTTCAGGTTCGTACGGTACATGTGTAGAATAAAACCTGAAAAAAAGTTTCTTTATAAATTGAATAAGTACTAACATGTACAAGTTATAAAGTGTTCAAAATCAATTAATATCTTTACCCATCAGTATTGTAGTGGAATCTAAACGATGCAATAATCAAATGGATGGTGCAAATTATGCATGTACATCTTTAACCGAAACAAAATGCAAAAGGTAAGTATCATTTTTTCCAAACATTTCAAGAGAAACAATCATGATTTCATATGAGTGAAATATCTTGCAAAAACTGGCACAAGGGGAAAAAATGGCAAAACATTTTGAAATACGAAACAAGCAAAATTGCTACCAATCATCGAACAATATATTCATCTTTCAGAAGATACTCTACATATATATCTAGGATAACAATCCGTCGCTTTGTTATTGCCAAGTCTATTCATAATTATTTGTTTATTGTTAAGACTAACCTGACAAATAGTGACATCAAAGCTAGAATCAGTGGCTATCTAAAGCAATGAGAGGACGACAAGTCTTCATTCATCATTCTTGCGCTCACCTACAAAATAATATTGCAATGAAACAATTTCCTTATTAATTTTCTCTGCTTATATTTCATTTTTTACTTCCGAAAGAATACATATTCTGTAATGGTCATTTGCATGAGAAAACGAAGGGGAAAAAATTCAGTATCGAAGAAAAAATGAAACATTGTCAGCATCGAAGGGGTATTTTAAAAAAAATGATGAAGGTATAATGCGCAAAATGACCCCGAACATAACAATGATCAGACGTTCATTTTAGAAATTAAATTGATGCGGAAAATAATGTTCTGCGTAACCTTATACCTTTATCTGTTTAAAGTTAATTTGAGAGTTAACTACAAACTTTACAATACACGGCTAGCAAAATAAAAGGAGGCTTTTAGTCATGAAACGGACTGTAACCAGAGATAATTTTACCGCTAAATTTCTGAGTACAACACACGCAGTATTTCATGAATGAGCACCTCCCTGGACATTTTACAGGGAATGTTCTAAATAAAGTTCGGTAAGTATTATATTCATCAACAATTTAAATCAATTAGAACATCATAAATGATATCTGACAAAGTCCATTAAGGATACCTTTAAGGAATTCCCTACAGCGTGTGTTAAACGAGTCACTCCTTCCTGATAGAATTTAAAAGTCACGCTTAAATTTCCCAAACCACGTACAACAAAGGGTGTGGGAACAGAGGGGTTATACAGATTTGGAAGAAATAATGTCGGATGTTTTCAGCTGTTAATCGTAAACAGCTGACAACTTTAGACAAGTCTAGTATAATGATAACAAGAGGAATAAATGTAAATCTTAATTCTTTTTTACAACTTTAAAAAAACTTCAAGTTCAGAATATTTAGGAAATAACATTTTTACGACTGACCTAAGTCGATAAAAAAAAACTGTTCCTTCGCCAAGCTCTCGGCACTTTGAAGTGAAATTTGCGGGTCCTTCGGATGAGACCTTAAAAACCGAGGCCCCGTGTCACGGTAGGCGTTGGCACGATAAAAAAACCCTCACTGCTCGATGGCCCTGAGTGCCGAGTAAAGATCTAAATTAGTAGCCCTTCACCGGTATATGGTGACGTCTCTATATGAGTGAAAAATTCCCGAACGGAACGTAAAACAACATACAAACAATCAATCAATCGAAAATATGTATTTCCTATTCAATAATTTTGTCATTCCTATTCGATAATTTTGTCATTCTTATTCGATAATTGCTAGTAAATGATTTTTGTCATAATACCAAGAATGCAATTATTGAACATCGCATAGTAATGATAAAATTATCGAATAAAAATAACAACATTATCGAATAGAAATCGTATGTTTTCGAATAGAAATAACGTTAATTGCAAATAAATCGCATAATTATCGAATAAGAATGACAAAATTGTGGAATGGGAATGACAAAGTTATCGAATGGGAATGACATATTTTCGAATAGGAATTACATATAAATGATATACTTTGGAATAGGAATCATATTTTTAAGTATCCTTTAAAATATCACAAGAATTGTATCACTTGAAGTTTAAAAAAATCCCATAAAATTCTTATTGGTATTTCATACATAAACATGTTTCCGAGATTACATTAAATGATCTTTCCCTCATCCAAATGATGGTTACCTGTATGGTCATATATATAGCCCCTATCTACTGTAAACTCTTAGCATGAGAGTGGTATAAACTTAACCAATCAGATTTGAGTTCCCATCTGCAGCCCTTTTTTTCTCATAGAAAGGACAGGTTTGCAAGCAGGTTTCAAGTACGAATTTACAGTTTGTAAAAGATTAAAAAGTCTCATAATAAAACACCTTTATGCTTCATAATCTCCGGGTTTAAAAATTTATAAGGTATCTGCATGTTTCGTGGTATGCAGAGCATACAATATATATACCTTTTATTAACAGTTCACTTTTGGTTGCGGAGGTCGTTAATAACAGATGGACATTCAGTCAACATGAAGGTGACAGGATATGTTGTGCATTGTAGCTTGAGTATTGTGTGGAATTTGAAGCTATAGGGAAAATATGTGAAATAAACTATCTGTAAGGGCATGCAGATGTTTGTGCACATCTGCACAGAATATTTGCACTGAATGAGCAAGGCACACTTAGCCCATATAATTAGATAAATATGACAATGCTATCCTTTATATCAACAATGAAAAGAGCGAAATAGTATAGCCACCTGTTGTATTTGATAATTTTGGAGCTTAATACAAATATTTACAAATTATCATAAACCAATAGTAGATAATTTTACTGTGTAAAGACATGTGTTTTATCTCCAACACCACTTTATAACCTACTGATAAATGTCAATTATCTGAAACATGGTATGGACAAATGGTCTTGTAGAAAACTTTTGTTTCTCTTTTTTTCTTTAGGTAGGTTAAGACACATTATTGTAAAGGATATAATGAAATGATAAGGCAGTTCAGTTTTAAATTCCTATCATAGGTATTTAAACTATCATCGATGTTTACTCAATTTCAAAACTCGATAGTAGGTATTATTACGGAACTTGTAAATTTATCTGTGTGAGTGTTGTTTTAATTTAATTGTTATGTTTTAGTTATGGTTCGCATATGTGGGCTTACAATGATTGATAGAAATTCACATGATAATTGTAATTTCAAAATGAAAACATGTCAAATCCATTTGTTCAATTGATGGTTCCATTGTGAACACACATTTCGTCAGAAAGCATAATGCATAGCTTTTTATAAAGGAAAGTGACGATTATGTGCATATAGGTTTATATTGGAATGACTTACAGCTGGAAATTTTAATGACAGTTTTATTGTGTATCATTTTATATCTTTTCTAGTTGCTCTAAAATTCTGATTACATTGGACACAATTGAACTCAAAGATGGAGCAGTCAGGTTAAATTTGTATATTCTGTTTAAGAATACAAGCATCGACCTGTTCAATTAATTGCATGTAAAGAAATTCAGTGTACACTTTTTATTTATTCGACAATCTGAAAATACGACCAATGTTATATGCTTTTACATAGTGTATTCAAACAAAGAAAATTCTGTGTATTTTTCAGGAGTTAATCCTATAAATAAAAGTTTATTTATCACCTTAAGCTGCTTGATAAACATCAAAGGGTAGTTAGTTTTTGACCCACAACGGTCCAACAAAATTTGACTATAAATAGTGACAAAGCTATGATAACGGCTTAATTCTCATCATCAGGTCATTTACTGTTATCCCTTGTTCAATGAATGGGTGCCAGTGATATTCATCAACAGATATTTCTACGTTTTTTGGGAATGTTAGTCTTTCTTTTAACCCATTCAAACAAACAACTCCATAAAGTAACTTACCAAACTAATAATTAGCCAATGTCTTATATTTCCAAGGTCCTTTCAACAGTTTGATCATATGAATGCAGAGCAAATAAGAATGAACAGTGCATACTTAAACATCTGTTTCGGAATATTTTTTTTCTATCTTAGATCATTCTATACAGTCTAATGTGGTATAATACTTGAAAGAAAATATGTCGAAAAGTAAGCTTTTCACTTACAATATCATTTCATTACTTTAGGAATGATTTAAACATTGGAAGAAACATATTAGGGATTTAAAAATGACCTGAGATAAGTTACGCAACCTGTGTGAGGTTTTCCCTATAAAATAGAAATCAATAGATCAAAACGTATTCAGGTTAAAACCTTGTTCCTTGGTCCTGTTTTTAAAAGTTAAGTAAGATATAGGACAAATGTAGGGAAGCACTTTGCAAATTAGTCTGATTCGATGAAAAGGAAATATCACTAAAATGTTTAATTGGTATGTATTAATTCACAATCTCAACCCCCCCCCCCCCCCCAAAAAAATGGTTTTTTTTTTTTTTTTTTTTTTTTTTGCATAGGTAAATCTTACGATGATTAAAAGAAGATAAAATCGGAAATGATAAAAGCAACGAAGAACTAATCAGCTGTTATACCTAATCTCATCTATTAAGCAACGCCTCCTTCAATCAACGCATTCAAGAGTGATATGTTGATTTGTAACTTTTATGAATGAATGATTCATTCTAAATTATAGCTTTTTAATTAGCTCACGGACGTTTAATTACTTGCTGAAAAATTTTTTATGATTTACGAACATTATATCTGTGTAAAACATTTTAAATGGCACACTGGTGACACATTACCATTATATAGTTAAAATAAAAAAGGATATACATTAGACATTCTGATTCTAAGCATAGATATTAGTCGAGATTGCAGCACGTGTAAGGTGCTATGACTATATCTACTTTATTACAAATAATAATGCTTCCTAATTACACTTTTCCTCATTTGATTAAATTGCTTTGACGATTAAAGAATGTCATAAAGTGTCTTAGTATAAAGTGAAAAGGCTATTTTCCATAGAAAATTGTATTGTTTGTTATCTTCTTCTCTTCTACAGTTTTTAAAAGTTGAAGACATCTCTCATAGAGCATGTACATTCCGAATGGAGATCTTTCAAAGAAAATAATTCATTTTTTAATTCGACTTTTAATCGCTTATTTAAAATAATTAATAAACAAAGGAAAGCTGTGAAGAAACTTGAATACTCTTTCCTAGTATTCTAAAATTTATAAAACATGAAATGTCACCATCCAGGAACCTAACTTTAATAGCTGTGAATTGTAATTAAAATTTTACTGCATGGTATGCAACATTATTGCACCGTAAACTATGAGCCAGTATAAATTCTGCCTGATTTTGTTAACATCCTGTTTACATGTAAAACACAGCCACGATAACTTACCTACATGTGGAGGATTTGAGAGAGCTTTAAATACTTTAAATATCCATTCCACTGAATAAAACAACTGCTTCACCAATATCACACATAAATTAACCTGAAAATTAATCTGAAAATCTACAACATATTCTCCTTGAAAAACTATCGATATGTTGATCCTCTGGCAATCACGTACCGACTGTGCACCAAACACCTCCCCTGTATATATTTACCTTTTTATGTTGTGAACAGACCAACCTTTTAGGTCGCCCTATCAGCATTGGCCAAGCGTGGAAACCTCTGCGGCAGGCTTCACTGAACGATGGCTCTCGAGTCTGAAGTTGAATGTATTGAGATACCTGAGACATCATGTAACTGTGTAAAAGGTGGTAAGACATTAGGGGTAATATATTCATTCAAATCTGGTAAAGGTTTTAATTCCTTGAATGTAAACACAATAAGGATGAGGGACGCTAAGCAAAAAAATGATTTGGTATAAAATCTGAATTCAATAATTGCATCTCACCAAAAGATATAATTGCAATTAAACAACTATACCAATTAAAAAAAATGTTTGTGTGATTAGGGATGTTTGAAATCAGACATAAAGATTTAAAGGAACAAAATACTAATGTTTAAGATATACACAGTGCCTTATATTTAATATAGTAGTAATTTAGTAGAAATTACCTAAAACTAGAAAAGTAGAAATGATACGTGATCTGCGACAGTAGAATGAAATATGGAGATAACGAACAGTATTTAAGCAAAACAAAAATAATTTTCAAATTTCTAGAATTTCATTCCTTGAATTTTCCTTTTGTAAGGGAACATAATAAATGTAAGGTATAACAATGTACTTAAATTGAAATGTAAATATTTAATTTCTAATATAAAATTTGAATACTTTTTAAGAACTTTACAATATTATCAGATGATGTTGAGATTTACTATTTGTTTTTTTGTTTTGTTTTGTTTTGTTTTGTTTTTTTTTTTTTTTTTTTTTTTTTTTTTTTTTTTTGAAAAAAGGTGTCTTCAAATAAACTTTTTTTGTTAAAATCTGGGGGGAAATTCTCATAGAAATGGTTGGTGTCTTTTTGCCAATGTTAGGGGTAATCATATCCCTAGCAGATGCTACCTGGACAAAGACAAGTAACTTACTCACAGCTCATGTCTCGTGACAACAGATCAAAGAAGCCTGTTGTCAGTTTAGAGCTGCCCTCGTGCTGCTTGGATCGGCAGCCTTAACAATTAACCACGCGACAAAAGCGGGAAGGTCCAAGGAGCGACCCAGAGGAAACATTCCTGACATGTCAACCATTGGTCACAGAGGCAACAGGTCACAATAGTTGTAATTTCTTAAAATAACAACAACAATGCACAAATACAATTGACCTGGCGCAGAGCAGATTTTAGGTACAGAATAATTTCCTGTCTCTATGTCTTGAACCCTAAACAGCCCAGATAGAATCATAGTGATGTTACATCTTACAACTTATAGCGAAACGCTTTGGATCATATTTCTCTTTTAGGCATTAACATGTCTATAACAAACAAGTAAGGTTTTGTTCAAGACATTCTTCCTGTCCCTGATGAATGAATACATAGCATTGTGTAACATATTAATCTGCAATTTGATATTGTGAAAGATAAGCACTTTTAAAAAAAATATGCTTGCTTTTTTATGAATATGAAGAAATATTGTTAGTCTTTGTTTTCATGTAGGTAGAATAATATATTTCGTGTATGATTTTATTTACATGAATGTTGTACGTTAACTGAATGAATTCTACCCTCAAAATGTTATCTTCGTTGCGATGCACTAAAAATCTCTTTCAATTGTCTTTATTATTCTTGGCGCCTTTTTTTCTATGCTGGAAATGTAATCGCATACTTTTCACATATTTTTTTCTAATAAAAATAGCATAAACTTCTTACATAATTAAAACAATCTTTCACACCCTATACAAAATGAGTCATGGGCTCTCCTTAACCTCACCTATTACATAAGGCATAGTTCTTGTTATATATTTTACTCATAGTCACACAGATGTATCACATATCGGAAAGCAAACTTAATATTCGATTGTGAAGAGACCATTCAAAATCAGGTTCGTTTTTTTTTTATATCAAGTATAGTATACTTATCATTTGCAAGTATCACCTTTTGTTATATAATTTCAGGATATGTTACCTACGCATGCATGAACGGTTCAATAAGATGAATCCAATTGTTACAAAAACTGAATCCCACACACTGTAGGATAAAGAAGTTTTATAACAGTACCTGTTAACGCTCAATAGAACGATCAAACCGAACACACAAAGTATGACTGTATTCCTTGTATGAAATCTTAAAGATGCCATGTTTAGTTTTACCTACATCATGTTATAATTTAATAAATTTGTATACATGCACAAAATGAAACAAACTGTTTGATTGTTTTTATCTTTGACGATATGATTCTTCCTTTTTGTATTTTAAGAAAAAAAATGAAGCATTGTATAAAATACTATTCTTAAGAGAAGGTAACAAGTTACTGAGGATGGAGTTATTAATCTTTACATGCACACAACCTTGCTGTACAGTCTGTATAGATATCTGTCTACGTCAATAAGGATGAAAGAAAAAATATGCTTTTTTTCTAATGGCGTTTTACATAAATGTAGCATGAAACTCAGAAGAATGTTATGTTCAAAATTCTCTCAGTAATTTTGTTTTACTTTCTGAGAATACAGTTCTAATAAGAAATACAGAGCTCTTTTAACTGGTATTTGATAAATAACTTTTTAGGAGATAAGATGTAAAAAAAAATCTTTAAGTGTCGCTTAAAGACCATCTTGTCGCAAGTTTCTATTATGTATACTATGTTATTTAACTTTAATTAGCTGTTACGGTTGTATATTTCTTCCTTTTTATTACATGTACCATATACTACACCCTTCTTTGGAACGAAAAAGTGACAATTGGGGGGGATAAAGGAAATACATCGCTTACCTGATCAATGCAGAGGACATGAGGAGGATCTGACCAGTCACCATGGGATGCTTACTCCTCCTTAGCACATAATCCCACCTCTGGTGTGTACATTGCCTGTTTTCTTATTGTTTGTAGGATATATTAGATAGAACACTGCTCCACGCCATCACCTTTTTGTCATATTGTTCATTAGTCAGCCGACGGGATGACTAGTTACGGTGGGATGAAACTGCAAGTGCGCTTGCGTAATTTGGAATTCTGGGAAAAAGATTTACACGACTTGTTCTAAAGAAACTCGTACTATTTGCTCCAACCGGAGGGCGTGCTTCTTCACGCACACTCTAGACCTCGATCTATTTATAGACTGCATTGTGCTTCGTTGTTCTCGGTGAAAAATTAAAGACATAGATTGTTCTTAGTGGGAAATTTGTACTGTTTTATATACTTCTATGAAAATATTTCAGTGCTTCTTATAAAAGATAAGAAGTTTATATATGTAGAGCACATTTAACACTTGATTATATATCCTCAATCGCCGTTGCAAGTCAAGGATTTGTGACTGTGTGTATTCCCCTGGATGTCTGATGCAAGACTCCCTCGATCAATTGCATAAGACATGTACGGGTCGAAATTCACACAATAATCCACTTGCCACAAAGGTCTCAAAACAGTGAAAAATGATGAAAGTTATGAAAATATTAGAAGACTACTGTATGACAGTAAATTCTTATAATTTACATGATGATAGACGTGTAAGTGCCGCTTGTGCGCGCCGAAAGGTGAGATAATGACCACATAAAACTGCGATAGTTGAGAGAAACTGCGCAGATTTAGACAGCCCCCCCCCCCACGGGAAAGAGTGAGAGAGATTGAATCCAGTATGTTAATCTAGTTTTGCTTTGATGCTAGACATCATTAGTTACATTTTTGGGTATACGTACTGCATGTATAAAAATATTTTGAATTTCCAGTTTGAATTGTTTTCCATGGCTTTCACTACCTTATTCTGGAAGCAATTCTTTTCTTTTTTAATAACACTAAAATGGATGCTTAAACTAAGAAATTGATTTAAAACTACATGCATTATGCCCCCCCCCCCCATCATGCATTGCCTGGAACCTGCACGATTAAAAACTTTTATTTGTTAATAATTAAAACAAGCTAACCCAAAGTCTACCTTCTTTTTTTGTATCATAATCTATATCATTTATAGAATTTAACAATGAAAATGAAAATGTACGAGGGTTGTGAAAAACGCGAACTTTTTAAATATTTCATAAACTATCTGACCAAAATTATTCATTTTTGGCATAAAGTTGGAAAATTATATTTTTGTAATTTTGGCTAAATATAATAAGGTTTCAATGCCATTTGCATTTTTAAACATCGTTTAAAGGGTGTTAAATATCGGTGGCCGGCGCACGGCAATTTCTTGACATTCAAAAATAGCATTGACAGCAATGTTTTCTTTACTACCAGGCTATACGGATATATAATGTGACAAAAATTATATCCTTAGAAACTTTATGATCTAGAGTACTCGTGTGTAAAAAAAATCAATACTCTGACTTCATAATTAATAACAAAAATATGACGTTATATTCACAAACACTATTAATTAGATATTGCCAAAAACGGCGATGTCGAGCAGTAATGCGGCGCACCAAATTATCACTCTGTGTTGTGTGGAGCGGGGTTTGACTCCTGTTCATAAGGAAAAAGAGCTGGGAACGAGGGAACGACACAAATGCATGTATCGATCACAGGTTCGTACATAGTAAAAGAGGTTCATATATGAATGAACTGGTTATCCGATGGAAGAAGAGTTTGGTTGACCAACAAAAAGGACGATAAACTGAAAAGGCTAGAGCTGGACGTCATGCATGGAGACCACAGTTAAGTATTCGAGCAGTTAGTTTTATGATCGGGGTTGGGAAATTGTTTATTAAAAGAATTTATTCCTTGATTTATTCTTAACTGCAGTACACGTGTGAAATGGATAACTCGGTAACTAAAAGAAAATAAAATGCACTATCGAATTTATGCATGAACGATTTTTTAAAGACGCACTATTCCTGAACAAATTCAAAAACTCCAAGAATTACGTTTTGACGTCGTCGTTGTTGCACCGGCAGCTGTTTTGAATGATTCCTTTACCA